ATGTTTTCCTCACCTTTAGCCTTTGTAAAAAGGTTGTTGATCGTCGAGGGCTATCTTTTGATCCGAGAAACTTGTGGTTTTGAGCAACTTTGTTTTCACCATCTTCCTCGTTGGGCCTCATCTTTTGAGGTAGGGATTCCTACTCACTCTTATGGGTTTCAACCTAGATTTTGAGCCTATTGTTTAAATGGTTGATTTTGGGACTTAGGGTTTCAAAATGTGTTAAAGAGGGTTTTGTGATTTTGGGCTCATAATTTGTAATTTGGGTTTCAAAATGATGATATAGTTGTTGGTTGGTGAAATTAGAACCTTTGGGCTAACATCGAGAGTTGGGGGTGAAAGCCCTAATTTGTTGTTTAAAATTAATTGGTATAATTAATTTGGAAAAAATTGTGAACTTGTGGAATTGAGTTGGAAATAATGAAATTGGCTCATTATGTTGTGAAATGATGGAGTTGGATTTATAAATCGCTCGCTTTTGAAAACATTGATATTTTATCTGTTGGAGCTTTTATTATCTTGTTTAGAAATAATTGCTTGGGGCTACCGGTGGAGGGTAGTTTTGATTGTTGTAGACAATGCATGACGATTAGGCAAACTAAAACTAATCAATTGGTTATGTCATAGAGTATGATGGTGATAGAATACATTAACGTTATGTATTGATTAATTGTGTATATGACCTTTGTGTATATACTGTGTGTGTGGGAGGAGATGGGGGATGTACTCCACGGTTTAGGGGAAGATAGGGGATGACCTCTAAACCGAATGTTGTTTGGGAGGAGATAAGGGATGGACTCCACTGATACAGCTCATATGCTTGTCAGATAATGTGTTGATACAACTCATATGCTTATCTCTGGAAGTGTTGATACAGCTCATATGCTTGTCATTGGAAGTGTTGATATAGCTAATATGCATGTCTGTTAAAATGTGGATACAGCTTGTATGCTTATCTGTTGAGATGTTGATACAACTAATATGTTTATCTATTGAAAAATAGGAAATGTTTAATATGAGTCATTGTCTCATATAAAGGATTGGCCAGGTTCTGAGCCGTTGATGTGAATTGTGAAATTGATAAGAAATGGAAACTGAAATGAAACGAGACTGAGTTATGAATTGGTTTATGAAAGTTGAACATTTATCAATTGCTATTGTCTTAGTTATTGCTCATACTGTGTTTAGCATATCTCTACTGGGCGTTGGCTCACCCTTTATGGGACATTATTTTCAGGTACAGGTAGTATGCCCCCTCCAAGGACATAGCTTTGATGATGATGAGAGTTGAAGACTCTTTCCTTTTTATTTATTTTGATGTATTACATGTAAATTCAAGCCAAGGGCTTAATATGTATTGAGTTAGTGCTCTTCTTTTTGTAACCAAGTGTTAACTTGGAAAGCTGTAAGCCCTTAGGGCATTTGCATTTGTTGTTAACATGTAATACAGTTATAAGAATTACTCTGAAATGAAATTAAATGGTTGATTTCTCTATATCAATGTATGTCTAAAATGTTGGGTATTATGTATTATTCTGAGGGCGTTACATACTCGCCATATGTGTGTCGACAAAAAGATGTTTACATCTTATTCTACAGTGAAAAACGGGGAACAACTTTTTATGGGCAACTCCTCGACTTTCTAAAGTTGAAGGATAAGGAAATATTATTCTGAATATGACATCTGGAAATGAACTCACTCTCAACAATGTGCTTCATGTATATCGGACATTGGCAAGAACCTTGTTTCCGGATCTTTGTTGAGTAAAAATAAGTTTAGGCTAGTTTTGAAAGTGACAAATTTGTACTTACCCAAAACGGGATGTATATAGGAAAATGTTACATGTTTGATGGCCTTTTCAAAATGAATGTAATGACTGTTGTACCTTCAGTTATTAATAAAAATACATCTTCTTCTTACTTGCTTGAGTCTTTAAATTTATGGCATGGTACAGTTGGACATTTTAATTATGGATTTTGCATAGATTAATTAATATAGAACGTTTACCTAAATTTGACATTAATTCAAGTCATAAATGTGAAATTTTCGTTGAGACAAAACTATCCAAAATTCTTTTTCATTCAATTGAAAGAAGTACGGAACCACTTGAATTAATTCATAATGACATTTGTGATTTTAAATCAATTCAAACTAGAGGTGGAAAAAAGTATTTTATCACTTTTATAGATAACTATACTAGATATAGTTATGTTTATTTAATTTGAATCAATGATGAAACTTTGGAAACTTTCATTCAATATAAGAATGAAGTTGAAAATCAACTTGGTAAGAAAATTAAGAAACTTAGAAGTGATAGAGGTGGTGAATATGAATCACCTTTTGATGAATATTGTAAATAATATGGAATAATTCATCAAACCACCGTTCTTTACTCACCTTAGCAAAATGGAATTGCTTAAAGGAAAAATAGGATTTTAAAAGAAATGATGAATGTCATGTTAATAAGTTCTGAATTACCTCAGAACGTGTGGGGGGAAACAATACTTTCTACTAATTACATTTTAAATAAAGTACCCCGAAAGAAAGTAAATCAAACACCTTATAAATTGTGGCATAAAAGAGAACCATCCTATAAATACTTAAAAGTGTAGGGGTATTTGGCTAAAGTGGCTATTCCTAGTCCTAAAAAGACTAAGATAGGTCCTAAAACCATTGATTGCATTTTCATTGGTTATGCCAAGAATAGTAGTGCATATCGGTTTTTGATTCATAAATCAGAACATTTCGAAATGCATGTAAATACTATTATTGAATTTCGGAATACATCTTTCTTTGAACATGAGTTTTTGAATAAAACTGGACAAGAGACTTAGTACTAACAAAAGATTTTTTTATGCTATTACTAGTAACGATCAAGAGCAAAAGATAGATCAAAATGAGGAAGAGGAACTTAGGCGTAATAAACGTGTTAGAACCTCAAAATCTTTTGGTTCAAATTTTCTAACATATTTGTTAGAAAATGAGCCGTTAACTTTTGAAGAAGCTATGTCCAATCCTGAAACTCCTTTATGGAAAGAAGCTGTCAATAGTGAAGTTGAATCCATTTTACAAAATCACACTTGAGAATTAGTGGATTTGCCACCAGGTTGTAAACTTCTTAGATATAAGTGGATTTTCAAATTCAAAAGGAAAATGAAAGTAGATGGATCAATTGACAAATACAAAGTAAGACTTGTGGTCAAAAGTTTTAGACAAAAAGAAAGTCTTGATTACTTTGACACATACTCATCGGTTACTAGAATAACATTTATTAGAATGTTAATTGTTGTTGCATTGTTGTATAATTTAGAAATTCATCAAATGGAGGAAGAGATTTACTAATGTTAAATTAGTAAATTAACATTCTAATGTTAAATTACTAACGATTTACTAATGCTGCTCATTGAGGGAGGGATTTAAAAGAAAAAGGTGTGAAATGATGTAAAAGAATGGTATATTTTATTTATTTATTTATTTGAAAAATTTTCAATTAAACATGCCCATAAAATTTTTAGTGAAATCAAATGAATTAAAATATTGATATATTTTATTTATTTATTTATTTAAAAATTTCTCAATCAAACATGTCTACAAAATTTTTAGTGAAGTTAAAAATTGAATAAAATTAATATAAGAAGTTAAAAATTAATATAAGAAGTTAAAAATTGAATAAAATTAATATAAATGGCATGAAAGGATGATATTATTTTTACTTATATAATTAATATATGTTTTTATAAAAAGGTGTAATTTAGTATAATTATGTGTTTAATGTATTATTTTTTATTTATATAATTAATATATTTTTTATAAAGAGTAATGATATACCCCTCTAATTTTAGAACTTTAATTGAACTCTAATGAGGTGGTAAGAATAAAATAAATAAAACTAAGGTCAAAACATCATATTTCAATGAGGTTCACTCTTATTAAAGCTCATTAGAGCTCCTAATCATTTTTCTTTTATAAAAAAGTGTAATTTAGCATAATTATGTCATAAGGTTTAATGGAATTTTTTTATTCGAGTAATTTATAAGGTTGTTGGAAAGATACATTTTAGATCATAATTTGAAAAGGAAAATACAATAGGGTAATGATTTAAAAAAGAAAAGGGAAAATGTATGATTTGAAAAAAGAAATAGAATGGGCAATGATTTGAAAAGGGAATATGGATAAAATATAATTATATTTTATTTATAGTTACTATGCACTTTTTTCTACCCAAAATCATAATTTAAATACTAGTTCCCAAAATCATAGCCTAATGCCTGATTTGGTATACTCTAAAAAATATAAAAAGTCAAAAAATTACTGTCCTATTTAAGTCACATCATTTTATTTAAATCACATCACCTCTCTACTACGTCACTTCAAACTCAACTTATATTTCATAAAAAGTCAAAAAATACACTTATTTAAAACATTCCAAACAACCCTTAAATACCAATTAACTAAGGATAAGTCAAGTCGGGTCATTTTGGATTTGTATTATAATTAACAATAATAAATAAACTTTTATTATTGTGTTATTTTGTGTTATTTTGTGTCCATCACTGTTGCATCTATAAACATAATAGAAAAATATTTGTTCATAAATAATAATAATAAATTTTTTTTTTTCGTTTTTTGGTGTGTTTTCCGCTAAAACAAATGTAACTTTTTGACTTCTACCTCTCCCTGCCAATTATTTACAACTGGTGTTTTAGCAACGGTTGATGGCATTCAGAAAAGAAATTAGCTAAATGACAACAACAGAAAACATCATGGTATTTTCATAAAGAAAGCATAGTTTAACTTAGGAGAGAATTGTTTGAAGGCTATCACAGCATCAGCAAAAGAAACCCTACTTTTCAATCCAACAAATGACCAACCAATCTTCAAATCCATCTCTTTACCTGTTCTAAGGCTACCCTATCCAGAAGACAGATTCACAACAAAACATTCCTCCCCAATCTTTGAATTTAGATCTCAAAGGGGAGTGACTAAATTCAAGTACGAATTTCATTGTAATAAACATGCAATTGCAGCTTAAAAAGTGAAATTCGTTAAATAATTGACTGTAATTTACTCGAAATATGCTTACAAAACTTCCACTTCCTTTCCCAACCAAAATGCAATCAGATACACTTTTGGTCATTCAAGAACACTAAGAGAAAATGACTTTTTTAAGTAAAAATGATACAAAGGTGACTCGGCCATAGACCCAAACAGAGCTTGCCGTGCTTGTTCAATTGAGGTGCAGTTTTCGTCTTACTGCATTTACTGACTTCAATCTTCCTTCGCTGACAGCTTTTTCTCGGGTAATTTAAGCATACCACTGTCTATTAGGGGTTGCAGTTCTTTTTTAGCCAGCTCACGTGCTACAGAATCTGAAGATTCCAAGAATGCACAAACTATCCTAGAACTATGTACACAACAAGAGCACCGTCAGAAATTGCCCATTCATATTTATGCTATGATTGTTTCAGAGGAAAACATTTCCTGACAAAAAACATTTTTCAATGTTTTCCTATGTTTGGTTGCGACTTGGAAACTACTATACCAGTGGTTAGAGGTGGTGGTGGTGGGGTCGTGGAGATGGAGGTTGAGGTGGAGGTGGCATTGGTGGCAGTGGCCGTGGTAGTGATGGGGGTGTTAGAGGTGGTGACAGTGATGGTGGTGGTGGTGGTGGTGGTGGTGAGGTGGTAGCAGTGGTGACATTGTAAAACTTTAGTCCGAAAAACGTTTTTCAACTTTCAAAAGTAAAAAACATTTTCTGCCCAAATAACCTTGTTTTCTGTTGAATTTCGTTTCCTATCCTACCAAATGTCAGAAATATAGAGAGAATGTTTTTTGCCAAAACAATTAAATTCACCATATTCAGAAAGCAGCAAACAACAGTATCTAACCTGTGACGTTGGGCCCACATTTCAGATTTCCCTTTTACCGCTTTCTTCCATAGGGTGGAAGCAAAGGCAGGGCAATCTAAAACCAGTCTTCTAATTGTCCTGCTAGAATGGAAATTTTCAAGGAGATTCTCTTCTTCTGAGTCCTCTAATTTAGGCTCTGCAACAAGTGATGCTATAGCTCGATGCAAGGCATCCAAATTTGTATCCAATGTTGAGAGGAGAATGCCACCGGCACCCCCAGTTGCAACCAACATGAATTAACAAGGTAAAAGTTAAGCAAGGATCTGCCAATAAAGAATAATTCTAGAGACCAAGAAATAAAGTAATAAGGGAAAAAAATGTATGATACGAATTTATTTTAAGTGTTGGCCCCGCCATATAAAAGTTGAATCTAACCATAAACTATTTTTCTTGGTACTTTTGTGTCTGAATTCTTGGTCTCTAGCATTGCTAACCAAAAAATGAATCAAATCCTAACATAAAGAATACTGATGAGCTGACATGGATTTTACACTACAATTATTACTTCTTGGGGATTACATCACAACCAGAGAGATAAACTTGGACTTAATCGACAAATCAACCATAACTTTAGGCAATCAAGAACAAGGAAGGCAGTGAGTGAGGGAGAAGTGAGAAACGTTGTGTATGAAAAGTGAAAGACCAAGGTAACCCTTTTTTTGGTTTTCCACATAAAAACCTCAATATTTGAATTATGTAACAAGGTAACTGTTTTTTGTTGGTCTATCGAAGCCTGGACCACTTTTTGAACTCTATTTTGGACTCGTTACATAATTTAGATATCAAGGTTTTATTGGTGGAAACATTGCATACTTCATATGTACTTGGTTGCACAGCCTTTTGCACCTTTTATTGAATTTCTACTTTAAAAAAAACATTGCATAACAATTTCTGTTGCAGCTAATACACTGAACAAATCCATGGAAGATGATTAAACTTCACATCAAGATAAAATTATTGGTAATAAAAGAGATTACCACCTCATAAATAATCTCTTTCCCAAAATTGGAACCAAGTAATTCTCCTGCACTCTCAACGCACGCATCAATGAGACTCTACAAGACATGCAAGCAACCAAGTTAACATCTCAAACCAGTTTTAAGTATAAAGTCATAGTTAATGTGAAGAACATATAACCAATATGTTATGGCTGATGACTGCAACTAAGTGAAAGTGAGAAATTCTTCTTAAAGATGTGCAAAAGGAACAGTGAAATTACCAACCTCAGCAAGACCACTATTGACCAACAACTCTTGTCTTCGAACCAGATGATCCTTTTTCCCACCATCAATTAAGTCAGTGCTCTCACCAGGGGTTGTACTTTTGTTAGACTCAACTATAACATCCTCTGTGCCACTGTTCTCTTCACCATCTTTACCAACCTCTAAAGTTTTCTTCTTCTTATTTGAGTCAGAATTTAAGTCTGATTCACCCTGATAAAGAGGGAAAACTTCAATCAAGTTTCAATGCAGCTGCATAACTTGTCTGAGATAGTTCTAATGTTCAACAAAAAGCTAAGGCGATTTGGATTTTGCCTTGGTGCAGAGAGAAGGAATAGTAAGATTCAAAGAAACCAGACCATCAGGACTGAAATAGCGGGGATAATTGGGATGAAGTAGTTGCAATAATGCACGCCTTCCATTCTGAAATCAACAAAGAAACCAACTTAGAAGAATATCTATTTGATAAAAGAAATTGAAAAATACAAAGATAGTTTACCCAGAGCATAGCTTTAGTAAAGAAATCATTCCAAAGAGGGGACATCAGAGATGCCCTCTAGAAGCATTTTAATAACCATATTAATGTAATTATAGCTAACCAATCTTCCAAAGAAAAAAAGATCAGTCACTTAGAAGTAAAAGAATCAGAATGATAGGCATACTTCTTTGGTAAGCATGCCATGCATGAAAAATATTTGTTAGACCACCCTTCCTATTCAATGTTACATTGTAATTCCTTTCAAATGTTAATGAGATAAAAAGGCACAAGAACAGTATAAACCTTATCCAGAACGAGCTCCTTCAACATCGTTTGAAGCTCACAAATGACAACCTGTAAACAGGAGTAATCTTAAAGAGAAAAACCCAAATAAAAAACGATACACCATCAATTAAGAAGATAAAACAATGATAACAATGCTGAAGAAACCAACCTTCGTTACAAGTTTAGTGTCATCAACAATTGAAAGGATGCAGGCAAGCACCTGTAAAGAACTTAATGTAAATGGTAGGCCAAGAATTTTACATAAATTTTTTTTTAAAAAAAAAATTATAAAATTAGGCTAGAATAGGAAAAGAGCAACAGAAGAATAAAGAGTGCATCATTGAATCAGGACAGAAGTGGAACAGATGAACCCCACTAATTGTTAGAGGGTGCAAATCCACAAATAAGATAATAACTGGCTGAAACTATTCTTAAGTGTAATTACAGTTAAGATAGACTGTGATCCACAATTGAAATGTAAACTAAAATTGTCACTTCTTCACCAATTAAAGAAAACAATATAATGTGTAGATGGACAGGAGAAACAATGGACTTGAAGGATTCATTACAGGAAGAAAAAAAGAAAAAGAAAAAAAAGAAAGAGTAAAGTCTAACAAATTTAAAAAGAGATCCTCACCATACTCCCATATTGATCGTGAGCTATCTTGCCCACGTGACCTTTCATTCCTTTGATGATTTTCCTCCTTTCCTAAAACAAGAGAAATATCAAAGGGCAATTCAGGAGTCCACAAACATCACAATCAAACCCAAAAAGGACAAGGTCACATTGACGGAAAAAAAAATTCAAGAATAAGATACAACCAAGATCAATCTCAACAAACCTTTGCACTCCCATGCTTGATACAAAGCATCGCAATCCTAGATCCCTCCCTGGTATGGATCATTCGAACAAGTAGTGGACCCGACAACTGTTGGATGACATCTGCAGCTGAGGCCTTTAAACAAACTTGGTTTAGAAACAAGAGGACCAATCGGGAGAGAAAGCCTCCCACATACCAAGTAGGCAAGAATGCTTTGTCAGAGGGTGTTAAAACCTATCACCTACTTCACCCACTTAAACCTACTCCACTAAACCTAACCCACTACACCACTACCACCATCCACTACACCTACATCTATATAAGGAACCAT